GATAAAAGAAGGATGCTGTTTGGAAAATGGATTAATTAGTATTTAATTGCTATAGTTTGCAGTTAATCTGCTAATATTAGGAATGCAGGCTTGTTACAAATTAACGACAACAAAGACGCCAAGCCGGAGCGAGGATCCCGTGCCAAATCCGTAACCCTAGAGAACCCTGACCTCCAGCAGCTGCGGACGGGCTGGGGGTCACGGGCCTCGCCTTGCCTTGGAGCAGGTGCCCAGCCCCGGACGCCCCCGTAACGGCTGCGGTCCCCTCGGTCTTGCTCGGGTGGCTCACCCAGAGGTGAGCAGACACCATGGCCGGAGTGGCTGTCTCAGGTGGAGACTGCTCGAGAGGAATGGGTTTGTCACCGCGGGGAGGAAGCGCTCAGCGAGGCCTGCGTGCGCGGGCATAGACCCCCCGTGTCCTGCCTGCGCCGAAGCTTCCTGGCGAATCACAGCACTCCGGCTCAGCCGGGCGCCCCACTTCTCGCCGGATTCCCTTCCAGAAGGAGCCGGGCCCTGTCTCCGGCTCTGTCCCTGGTTGCGTTGGGATCTGCCTGCCTTCCCCTGGCCAGGAGAGCCTGGATGCGCCTTTAGGGCGAACACATTCCTGGCGCCCACGCTTGGCAGCGCCCGGGAGACCAGGGTGGGACCCCAAGGGAAAGGCGGGGTGAGCCCAGCTGAGGCCGCTCCTGCCCCCACACTCCAGGGAGCTGCCTCCAGCAGCTAATTAGAAAACAAGACCCCCCAGACAATGGGGCTGTGCCGGGCCCCAGCGGCTCCCTCCCACGCGCTCCCACCCACCGCCCGCTCCTCAAGGCCTTTCGGAATCCTTTGCTGTCAGCAGAACAAGTGGGAGCCCGAGATCCCACAGACAAGAACGCCCGGCAGCAGCATTGCGCACGGCTGATGTCACCCGGGGAACACTGCACGGACAAGCTTTTAATTAAAGTTTCCCCACACATCTTTCCGCCGGTCCCCGGAGCCAATATGCATTCTGTGCGAACTGCCAGCCAATTGCGAGCTGGGAGGGAAGTGTTTTATTTTCAAAGCTCTTGCTGACAGCTCGAGAACACTTTGTTATACAATCTGTTTATGTTTTTCACACACACACACACACACACTCACACACTCACACCTGAGCTTGCGAAAGGGAAACTGGCTGTGCAGGGTGTTCCGCGTGCCTGGCAGTAATTAAGTACATCTGGTGCAGAAAGAGTTGCAAGGGGGAACGGCCGGGCTCCCTCTGTGAACTGTCACCCCCGCCCTGACTGGGGAGGCGACTCCAGCGAGCACAGGTGCAGGGGACCCTGTGGCCAGCGGGCAGCGGGCAGCGGGCAGTGGGCAGTGGTGCCTGGTGGAGGGAGGGCTGCTTCTAGCTCTGTCCCCAGCCCTGTGTCGCTGTCTCAGAACCGGTTCTGGAGGGAAGACCCCGGGGTGGGGAGCGTGGGCAGCTGCAGGTCTGGGGAAGCCTGCGCCCCGTCCTGCCTGGGAGTCTCCAGTGCCGGCCCTGCTCGGGTGTGCACGGCCAGGACACTGGGGTGCCCAGCACAGGCCCCTCCTGGGGCTGCGGAAGCTTGCTTTCTGCCGACGCCTGGCCTCCGTTTCCCCACAGGTGATGGGGAACAGCGTACCCGACTCAAGGGACGTGCCACAGCCTACCCCAAGAGTGCGTGGGCCAGGCCCCCTGAGCCCTGCACACAGACGCACACCTGGCTCCCCCGTACTGTAGCCTGAGAAGCCCCCCTCCTCCGTCCTGGCCCAGCTTCAGGCTGCTGCACACACAGGGGCAGAGTCTTCAGCCGTGTGTGAGGCCCAGGGCGCCCGCTAGGGAGGCTGTGCCTGGGTCTTGCTCCAGAAAGTTACAAGAGCGCTTGGCAGGTTCCCACCCAGACAGAAGCGGCCTCCCACCCCCAGGCCCACGTGTCCCCCCCCCCGCCATGCCTGGCCCCCCGGTACTGCCCTTCTTCTCTGTCCCGGCACCAGTGAATTACATGTGTGTCCTTGTCTGGGTGGGGGGCTCAGGCCAGTGTCCCTCCCGGGCCAGCACTGGCCACTCTGGAGCGGACACACAGACGGGCCCCGACGCCTCAGGCACTGCTCCCTGCGTCTCGGCCACAGGTGCTGGTGGGTCGCGTGCACACCCCCACAACAAGCTGTGGTGTGGGAGTACCTGTTCCGCCCCTGGACGCTGGCTGCACGAGCTCCGGTGGACAGTGGGCACCCCTCAGCCACGCACCGCTTTCCTGGCCGCTGCACCTCCTTCCACTGGCTCGTCTGGTCCCCCCGTGCCCGGTGAGCCTGGCATCCCTGCCGGAGGGAAGAGGGCGTGACTCAGGGCCGCACTGGAGTCGGCGAGGGGGAAACTGGCCAGGAGGAAGCGGGCACACCCTCGCTGGTAGAGGAAACCTCAACACTGCACCAGAACTGTCGGCAGTGATAACTGACTCAGTAAAGGAGCAGGAGACAAAACAGACAGACACAAGGCAGCGTTTTTATACACCAGGGATGACCTGGCCAAAGGAGAAATCAAACCAGAATCTCATTCACAAAAGCTACCAAAAATCAAATATATAGGAACACGCACACACACACACACACACACACGCTGGAGCATTGACAGCCATCAACAAAGAACGTGCCCCAAGATGGGTGGAACCGGAGGACACACGTGGAGTGAAATGAGCCAGACACAGAAAGACTAAAACCACGTGCTCCCTCCTGTGTGGGCGCTACCACGGAAAACAAGCCTCCGTCTGCACGCAGCCTGCTGATCAGGAGAGGCTGGGAGGGGGTGGGGCCTCCGTCTGCAAGCAGCCTGCTGGTCAGGAGAGGCTGGGAGGGGTGGGCCGGACAGGAGTCCGTAGTAAAGGGACGGGAAGCTGGTGAGGTTGTAGCTAAGACAGCACAGGAGGTCGAGGTGGGGACGGCGTGAGGGGCACACGGGGGTCTCACACCTCACAATTTTGTTTTGTAAATTTAAAGCTATTCTGAAATAAAATGTTAACTAACAAAAGGAGCCCCCGTGTGCTGCAGGGTACAAGAGGGACCCAGCCTAGAACCGGGACCGAGCCCCTGAGCACACGCCAGGGCCCTCGGCTCCGTCTCAGAGCCCACAAGACACGGGCGCCTGCAGGCTGGGGCCCCTGCACCGCGCATCAGAGGGCCCGGGTTCGAGTCTCAGCTCCTGCTCCTGACCCTCGGAGGCAGCACTGACAGCCCGGGGCGGGCTCTGTGCCCTCCATGTGGGAGACCTGGGCTCAGGTCCCAGCTCCCAGCTTTGGCCAGCCCAACCCCAGCCGCCGCTGGCATCTGAGGGGCAGACTGGCGGATGGAAGCTGTCTGTCTCCCCTCCCCTGTCCCTCCGCCTCTCAGATACGTAATAAACATTTAAGACGAGACCGGGGAAAGCACAAGCTCATTGGCATCGTGGGTAGATCTTTCCAGTTACTGGGTGACAGTGGACGAAGGGGCAGGGCCCCTGGAGGACAGCCCTCGGGGTGGGCGGGGCCTGCCGGGACAGAGCACAGGCACCTAGGACAGCCGGGTGTATGGCCAGGGAGTGCAGCAGACCGAGGGCTGTGCCGAGTGCCCGGGGGCCGCGTGGAGGGCTCGGTGCTCCATGACCTGCGTGAGTGCGTGAGCAGATGTAGGCTGGCCGAGTGCCCCCAGGAAGGAGCAGAGAACGTGCAGGCTCAGTCACCCAGCAGCCCCGCTCCGGAATGGCTCCGCTCCATCCTGCGCGGCACAGCATCTACGCGGGCAGGGTCTTCGTCGTGGCTGCAGAAGCGGCTGACGGTCCTCCCCTGAGCTGTGGGTTCTCAGCCCCCCGCCTGGAGTCCTGGGTGGCTCACGACGGCTCAGACCCACCCCGTGGGTGCAGCTGGAGCTCACCCCCAGCAGAGGCACTTCCTCCTTGTCCTCCGGAAGTGCTCCTGTGGCGCCCCTGCCCCCGTGGCACCCCTGATCTCAACACCTGCGGGGTTGAGGGCCTGGCCACGCGGCCACATGGGGGCGCTCTGGCCACCAGTACAAGCTGAGCTCAGCATTTCCGCCCCAGACAACTTGGCGAGGCTTTTCTTGCCCCCGACCTTGGGATCCGTCCAACCTTCTCGCACTTCCACTCGAGGCCCCAGGCCTAGTAAATCAGACACATCGTCTCCTCTGGGCTGGTTTCAATCCCCAGGCCCTGGATCCGTGAGCCAAGTAAAACGGCTGTGGATGCCACGGGTTTGGGGTGACTGGTTTTGCAGCTGCGGGAACCAGGACAGGATCTGGCAGCGGCAGCGGACGTCGCCGTGAGAGAGCCCGCAGTGTGTGGGCTTGGAGAGACGGTGGAAGACGCTGTAGGCCTGGGCGGGCCAGACCGCCCTCCTGGGGGCTGTCGTGAAAACTCAGCGAGAAGCCAGGAACACTCCCGGGAAGACGTTGTTAGAGGAGACCCTCGCCGCGCAGAAGTAAAAACAGCAGAGCTGTCGCCCGCGGTCACGGACGCAGGGTGGAGGAGGAGAGGACGCGGCGAGGCGGCTGGGTCCAGGGTCCGGTGCTTCCCTCGGCCGCATCGCCCAGGGTGAGGACACAGAGGGCCGGGCTACGGAAGGAACGATTCTGTTTCCAAGCAGAGTTTGGAGAAAATGCAGGGACAGGACCGGCCAGCTTTGACGTTGAACTTCACGCGTGGGCTCTCCCGGAAGAGTTAGGGCAGTGCTCCACAGGTTCCGTCTAACCTGGAAACTCCTCCTGGATCCGGAGGCTGGGCCTCGCCGCCCCTGCCCACAGTCTGCGAGAGGCTTCCACGCAGTCCTCGGAGCGAGCGCGGGTGAGAGAGCCGGCTTCCGGTGAGCGGCGTGGGCCACGAACGCACGCAGAGGAGGCCCGCGGTGTCTGGAGACGCCTGGTGTCTGTGGACGTGATCGGAGCGGGCAGCGGCCTGTGACATCGGGGGCACAGACAAGCACGTTCAGCCATGAACCTGGTTCCGTCTTGGAAAACGTGAGGAGCCGGCCTGGTTCGGTGAGTCTCAGGCGCCCTCTGCCAGCCCCGCTCCCGGTGCCAGCACCCTGAGCAGGGAGCCCGCACTTGTCCTGCTGTTGCAGACTGGGGCGGGGCCTGCACATGACGTCTCTCTTGTTCACTGGCCTTCAGGTCTGTGGGACCTGTGTCCAAGGAAGCGCACGCAAAGCCTCAGCCCCACGTGGCCCTGGGCCTGATGCTGGACCTCCTGCTGTGCCAGGCCAGCCGGCTGCAGGGCTCGGTGAGTCCGGCCCAGGGGAAATGCCTCCCCGTGGTCCTCTTTGCAGACGTGGACGGAGCACAGGGTTCCGGTACGTCATAGGACAGGCAAGGCTCTCGGTAGGACCAGAGCCGGGCCTCTCTGTCACAGTGTCGGGTGCCTGGGTTCTGGGTGGGGTCCATGGAAGGGCAGGGCCTCTGCCGTCTTGGGTCTCCCGCCAGCTAAGCGTGGGAGGGCGCTGTCACTCACGGTCCCTCTCCTGGACCCAGGCCGAGGACCGGAGGTTTGACCACGGTGTAGGAGCAGACATTCTGATAACAACTCAAGGGTCAGTGGAGCTGCAGCAGGTTTGGGTACGGAGTAGGCGCGGAAATTTTTTTTTCAAAATTTGGAGGAGAGGAAGGGGGGGAGGGAAGGGGCCGGGGGAGGAACAGCTTCTCAGAGAGCAGGTTGCCGGGACCCCCCCCCCGCCCCCAGTTCAGGACAGGAATTTGCTGTCAGATCCGCTCCTGCAGGTGCACCTGCCTGGGGGGCCACACACCTACACGTGTCCCCAAGCACAGCCGAGGACTGAGAAGAAGGACAGCGACCAGGAACCCCCGTGGACACGCAGTGAGCTGAGAGACGTCCAGGGGCGTTCACCCCGCACCCCTCCTGCGGCCTCTTCCAGGCAGAGGCCACCTGCGGAGACAAACCTGGGAGCAAGAAACGCAAGGACACGAGGGCTGAGGATCCTGCCCCTGACGGATGTCCCACACTGGGGATCCAGTGTCCCGATCCTGCTCCTGACGGATGTCCCACGCCGGGGATCCAGTGTCCCGATCCTGCCACGACAGATGTCCCACACCGGGGATCCAGTGTCCCGATCCTGCTCCTGACGGATGTCCCACACTGGGGATCCAGTGTCCCGATCCTGCCCCTGACTGATGTCCCACACCAGGGATCCAGTGTGCGGCCCCTGAAAGGGAACCTACAGATGGACACTGATTAGTGCATCCCCAGGGTGAGGACAGACACACGGACGCACCCTGAGCAGTGCCCCCCAGGGTGAGGACAGACACCCCTCCCTCACACCGAGCGTCCAGGAGAACTGCTCTGGCCGTGGTCCCTGGGCTCCCTCCCCCCCACCAGCGGGCCTAGCGGTCTGCATCCTGGTGCTGGGATCAGTGGCCCCCCCATGGAGGGGATGGCAGCCCTCCCGTCCCGTTATCTCGCCCAGCCTGTGCTCCCTCGCAATCACACAGGGCGGGGCAGAGTCAGAGCTGATGGCGGCACGCGGCTCTGTCGTGCACACAGGGGCAGGGATGAATCCGACTTAGAAAGGACTTCAGGTGTCTGGCTCTGCGGAGGCCGGCGGCCCACAGCCAGAACGGAGATGGAGGGAGCTCATTCAGGCCCTGAGTTGGAGCTGTCTTCACCGGATCTCGCATTCAGGGTCCCTTATCTTTCCCTTCCCACCTCCTTCCGCCCCTCCCCCCACCCCAGGCACACACCACCGGCTTTGATTGTTTGTCAATCAGCCGGGTCTGGGAACAGTGCCTGGGCAGGAAATGGAGAAAACCCTCCCGCACCTCTCTGTCTGTAATGAAGCCTGCAGCCTGGAGCCAACCTGCGCAGGGCGCCAGCAGCTCCTCTGTCCACCGCGGCCCTCGGCCCACGCCGTGCTCTCGGCCACTGCCCGGTGCTGGGCAGGACACCAGGCAGGACGCCGCACCAGGTGCTCTGGGCGAGGAAGGGGCATCCGCCGGGTGCCACGGGGTCCTCAGAGGCCAGGAGAGCAAGCTGCACATGTAGGCGTTTTGCACAAACCCTCGGGAAGGCGCCTGCGCCTCTCAGTCACAGCGACTGGAGACCGAGACGAGGTGGGGCTCTCAACGTGGGATTACTGAGGGTCCTTAGAGATTCGGGCTCTGCTCCTGCCACAGGCCACCCTGGCTGCCACCGGCACACGGGCATCCTGTTCTCACAAGACCCAGGTCGCTCCTCGTCTCTCTCACTGGACCCCAGCCTCGCGCAGCCGTCTGGAAATCGGCTTTTCCCGGGGGCTGCAGGACGCTGTCCGCCGACCTCTGACCTCTGCAGGCTCTGTCTCTGTTTGCTTTGCTGGCCTCGCTTCCTCCGGTCCCTGAGACCCTGGGCCCCCTGCATTCCTGTCCTCTGCTCCCCTTCAGCCCCCGAAAGCCCCAGGCACGCCTGCAGCTTTGGGGTGTCCCGCAGAAGTCCCTGTCCTCCAACACACCAAAGCCGCCAGCCAGCTGCCCGGTGCATGTCGCCAAGTTCCGGCTCTGCTCCCTACGCAACCTCCTGCCGGGGTGCACCCTGGGAGACGGCAGGTGATGGCTCCAGGAGGTGGGTCCCTGCCACTGACGTAGGAGAGCTGAGGTCAGTGCCTGGCCCCCAATTCAGCCTGGCCCAGTGCTGGCCACTGTGGGCGTTTGGGGAGTAAACGGGCCCCTCTAAACAAATTGGGTAAATAAACAATGATTTCTGGGTCTCGAAAGCGTACTTTGCAGAGGAAGAAGAGAGCAGCTCTCACCTCATTAGGGACTCCCGGACGTGAAAGCAGAGACGCCGAGCGTGTCTTTTCCAGTAGCAGTGTGTCCAGGGCGGGAGCACAGACTGCACGGGTGTGCACACGTGTCTGTGTGTGTGTTCAGAGCAGCTGGCCAGCTCCCTGGTAACCCGGCCTGTGATGGCTGCCTGCCGGCGGCCTGCGCTCAGCACAGCTCCCAGGAAGCACCTGTCGTGCACTGGGGAACCAGCCGGCGGCGGGCGCACCAAGCCAATTCCCAGCAGCTCCCCGCCCTGCTGGGAGCAAAGTCAGCACCACGCACTGACAACGCGCAGCCGGCAGCCCAGGGAGCCCCGAGGCTGAGCCAACAGCAGGAGGCGCTCAGCACCCACAGCCAGCGGAGAGGTCCCAAAGGGGCATTCGGGGAGCCCAGGGACCCCATGCTATGCAGACATCCCAAACCCACTTCCTCAGCCACCCCCAACCCTAACTGTGCACCTCCCCCTTTGTCAGCCAACCTGTGCCCATGCCCTGGCCCCAGGACCTCCGGCAGCCCCAAGGAGGCAGGGGCTGGAGCTGGCCGGCCGGCCGAGCAGGGCTGCTCTGTGGCTCGGTCTGTATGAGGTGCAGGCCACAGCACCGCACACGCAGTCCCTGGGCGAAGCCGCCCCTCCTCACCGCCAGCCCCTGGCCCTGGCAGCAGCAACGGCCGGCGTTCCGCCCCATCGCTCCACGCGCAGCCTTCCAGACGCAGCCCCCCAAAGCACTTTTGCAGGAGCACGCTTCGAGAGACCACGGCCAGAGGGGCGGCCCCGGAGGCCCAGAGCTTCAGACAGCCGCGTGATTTAGGGCCCTGAGCGGCCGCGGAAGGCTCCGGTCTGAAACCTCAGCAAGCCAGCCGCGCGCAGCCAGTGCAGGCCGGGCCTGTGCGGGCCGGGCCAGGGCCTCCATCCGGGAGCAGGGGCCTCTCCCGTGGGTCGTGTGCATCAGGGGCACCTGGGGAAGAGCAGACAAGGAGCAGCGGCTCTGTCTGCCAACCTCTCGTGCGTTCAGCCACGCAGGGCGCTCACAGCTGAATCGCGCGCCCAAGCCGCCGCCGGCACGCGCGCAGTGCGGGGCGCCAGCCCCAGACACCTGCGCCGGAAGCGCTCGGTGAGTTCTGCCCTGGTGAAGCTTCTTGGCCTGAGGAACGAGAGCGGTCACTTTCTCCCGCAATCCCGACTGTCCAGCTCTGCTCCGGAAACTGACCACAGAAGTGGGACACGTGAGAGAAGGCTCGAGAACCTCGGAACCAGCAGCCGGTTCGGGAATCCAGTGTTCTTTTCTAAGGGACCAGCAAGGTTTCTGGACTCCCGATTTACCCACACAGCCTCGGCAGCCAGGCACTGACCGGGACTGTGGTCCATGGTGCGCACTCCAGCTCTCCTGGGGGACTCTGCGTTACCGGGTGCCGAGTGCCGTGTATTTCATCGTGCACACGGAGCAGGCGGATGTACCTGAGCCGGTGGACACACACAGGTGGACACCCGTGAGCTACCACCGAGAGAGCTGGGGCTGTTGCTTCGCGCAGGGGAGACTCGGAGGCAGCGGCCCCGCCCGGGGAGCGGTCAGCGGCCGGCGGTCAGCGGTCAGCGGCCGCCCCCCCTGAACAGCGCACTCTGAGCAGGCTGATGCTTCATCGGCGATCTGCCACGGCCCGGTGACAGTTAACGCTGGCTGTTACGGCTAAGGAGACAGGACGATGCACCAGATTAATACTTTGCCTTTTTAATCTATTAATCTACCACCTCTGGGACATGATTTTGAATCCACTGCAGAGCAGAGTGACTGAAAATCATTCTGCTCTGACAGCTTTAAAAGATCAGAAGTGAAACGTGCTAAGAAGGGTCTCGGCCCAGGATACGGAGCCAGGGTGCGACCCGCGGAGGTCCTCACCCGGGGGGGCTCCACGCCCTCTCCAAGGGGTCTCCAAATCGCACCCACGCGCGGACCAAGGCTACCCCAGGTGGGCTGGGCCTGTTTCCCGCTGATGGATCTGGGGGCCCCAGAGGAGCTGGGAGGTACGGCTCCCCACATGGGGACGAGCTGTGGGCTGCCCAGGAGGCGGCTCAAAGCCAGGACAGGCGCCAGGGGCTCGCAGGTTTGCAACATGAAAAATACAGCTTTTCCCCAAAATGATGGTGACACAAACAAAATGTGTGCACATTTGCATTTTTCACTTTATTTTTTTCTTAGTTGAGAGAGATCTTCCTTCTGTTGGTTTACTCCCCAAATGCCTGCAACGGCCAGAGCTGGGCCGAGGTGAAACTGGGAGCCAGGAGCTTCATGCGGTCCCCCATATGGGTGCAGGGACCCAAGTGCTTGAGCCATCATCCGCTGCTTTCCCAGAGTGCATCAGCAGGAAACTGGATCGGAAGAGGAGCATCCGGGACTCGAATTGGCACTCTGCTGTGGGGTGTGCAGTCACAAGCAGCATCGTCCACTCCCACGGTGTCCACTTTTTAAAAAGGTTCATTTGAGAGGCAGAATTACAGAGAGAGGGAGAGACAGACAGGAAGGTCTTCCATCCGCTGGTTCACTCCCCAGCCGATCCCAAGCCAGGAGCCAGGAGCTCCATCTGGGTCTCCCACGTGGGTGCAGGGGCCCAAGCACCTGGGTCGTCTTCCACTGCTTTCCCAGGCCATAGCAGAGCTGGACCAGAAGAGGAGCAGCTGGGACTTGAACCGGTGCCTGTGTGGGATGTCGGCGCCGCAAGTGGAGGCCCAGCCCACTTCACCACAGAACCGGCCCCTGTGAGAGCCCTGCCCACGGCTCTCACAACACCCAGGACCGTGAAATCATTGCTGCCCCGGCCTGCACGGCTTCACAGAATCACGGAGGGCGAGGCAGGGGTCAAGCACGTGTGGATGGGGCCACACTGTGCGCTCACTCTCTTTCCTCAGGGGCTGAGGGTCCAGCGTGCACACTTGGCCACCAGGTGCCGAGGGCCTGATCCTCCAACACTGAGCCGAGTGTCTGATCACCCCTGCACAGCAGTCGCTCCAAGCCCCTGGGGTCAGCCTCGGAGAGCCCTGTCCCTGGCCAGGGAGTCCTCAGCCCAGCAGAGTGCAGAGCGGACAGCGCCCACAGAGCACTGCGTCAGTGTCCCGGCGAGGCCACCCCTCAGCCAGGCCTCTGGCAGGTACAGGGACTCTGGCCACAGTAGGGAGTGGCACCCAAGGCATGGCTCCTGACAGCTGTCATCACAGTGTGCTTCCTGCACAGAGATGTCAAACCCCAGCACCCCAGCGCCCCAGTGCATGCAGGCCCGTGATGGCCCCGTTCCACAGTCCAGGCCTGGGCTTCCCTGGTGCACCGTGGCCTGCGCATCTGCGCCACACCCATTTCTCAGCAGGGGGTCCGAGCCGTCCCTGCTGATGGTGAGGGGTGGCACGGGTGCAGCACAGCCACGGTGCTGCCGAGGTGTTGGGCAGCCTGGCGCTCTGAGAGGTGCCATAGAGAGGGGCAGGCGTGTTCCCCGTGGCCACCAGCACAGATCTTGGGGGACGCCCCCTTGGCTGTTAAAGAAGTGACCAGAGGAATGGTGATGTGGGTGACCCCGTGGCGAAGGCCGGTGCTGCAGCCAGGCGTCTGGAGCAGCAGGTGCCCAGCCGCAGTGGGGACCACGGGGTCGGCCAGTGCCCGGGGACAGGGGCTCGCTGGGACGGCCGGGCTGGCCGAGTAGCACCTTCTCTCCTCCCAGGCAGTCGCCCACAGGTTCAGGAAGAGGCGGCCCTTGCTCCCCTCTCGCCCTGGCCATGTTCCTAAGCCGTTGCCTGTTTAATGAGAGGAGAGTCGCGCAGCCTCGCTTCGCCCACGACCTAATGAGCTCCTCCAGATGTTGAGCTGGAAACCGGAGACCGCAAAGAGACCAGCTGGACGTTAAGTACAGCGGGGCACCTGACCCGTGTCGGAAGCTGCTCCACGCTGCCCCTCCAGCTGCAAGGAACCGCTGGCCAGGACTGGGGGTGCCCTTGTGAAGACCCCGAGTGAGAACAACCCCCAGAGCAGGGCACCCCGACAGCCGTGCCCGACGTGTGTTTGATGAGTGACTGTGTGAGTGTGCCGCTGTGGTCCAGATCAGTGGAGACCCACAGCTGAGTGCTGGGAGTGAGGGCACAGAAGAGGGCAGTCCCCACACCCTGCCCCTGCCAGGGCTGTGCCAGTGCAGCTCGCGGGCCACCACAGTCCAGGAAACCACCGAGGTGAAAACGTGGCACAATGGAAGCAGGAAGGACTTGGTGAGCTCCTCTGTTGTGTTTACGAAGCTCTTCACTCACGGAGAGCGCGCATAGGAAAACCCGTGCGTGGACCTCAAACTATTTCTCACCAAGAGACGTTTTGTTTCCATTTTCCATGAAAATTTTTTGAAGATTTATTTTATTTATTTGAAAGACAGAATTACAGAGAAAGGTAGAGACAGAGAGAGAGAGAGAGAGAGAGAGAGAGAGGTCTTCCATCTGCTGGTTTACTCTCCAGATGGCCACAATGGCCGGAGCTGCACCGATCTGAAGCCAGGAGCCAGGAGCTTCTTCGGGGTCTCCCACGCGGGTGCAGGACCCCAGCACCTGGGCCATCTTCTACTGCTTTCCCAGGCCACAGCAGAGAGCTGGATGGGAAGTGGAGCCGCCAGGACTACTACCAGCACCCAAATGGGATGCCAGCGCTTCAGGCCAGGCCTTTAACCCGCCGGGCCACAGTGCTGGCCCCTCCGTGAATTTTTTAAGCGATCTGAGCAATAAAAGGATTTTTCAGGCTTGCTTCAGTTCATGACAAGTTTAGTGCCGAATGCACTCATTCATCACTCTGGAAACTGGAGCGCACGGGAACCACGAGTGCTTTGGCGCGCGCAGCTTTGATGGGCGCACTGCTGAGTTCAGAATGCTGGGTCTCGGCTTGCTTCTGCGTGGGGGCCGCGTGACACCCTGGGGACTCTGGTTTGTGTGATTCTGTGCCTTGTTCCTTCTAACCGCTCTGTTTGGGGGACGTGGCATGGTGTAGCAGGCAAAGCCTCTGCCTGTGTCGCTGGCATCCCATACAGGCACCGATTCCTGTCCTGGCTGCTCCTCTTCCAATCCAGCTCTCTGCTGTGGCCTGGGAAAGCAGTAGAAGATGGCCCAAGTCCTTGGGCCCCTGCACCCATGTGGGAGACCTGGAGGAAGCTCCTGGCTCCTGGCTTCGGATCGGCCCAGCCCTGGTGGTTGCAGCCAGTTGGGGAGTGAAGCAGCGGATGGAAGGCCTCTGTCTGCCTCTCAAATCTTTTCTTTCTAAAGGTGCCATGCGGCCCTCTCCTCCACGCTTGCTTCTAAGAAGGCATCTCTGCTGGTTTCTGCTGTTTGCTGTCTTCTCTAGGGTCTGCAGCGTACAATTCTGCTGCTCTCGGTTCTTTGTGGGATTATCTCAAATTCGAAGTGTCACAAGTCCTATTTTTATGGTTAAAATAAAGAACAAAGTTTTTAATCCTAACACAGGATAAAATGTGGATGTGTGCTTACTCTCTTCCAACCTCCTGGTTGTTTTTCAACTTTGTATTTGAGCGCAGTCTTCAGTTTACAAAGCTAAGGCGTTCCCACGCCCCCGCGCAGCCTCCCCTGCTGCCAGCGCCTCTGCAGGGCCCCACGTTGCCCAGCTCCTGCACGGTCTGTGAGCCACTCCAGCGCCCCTGTTTCTTAGCCAAACTCCTTCCATCCCCAGCACCGTCCCAGCCGCTGCGGCTC